GGTTTCTTGATGGCGTCTGCTGCAGGTTCTGTCTCGGGCAGGAGGTTTGCGTAGTCTTCTGAGAGCAGGCTGCTCACACGAAGCTGCCAGCGGTAGTAGTCGAGCTCATCTCCATCGAGGACGGGCACAGAGAGCTTGACGTCATCGAGAGTGACCTCGCAGAGGCGTTGAGTAGCGGCGAGAAGCTGACTCTCGGTCATCGCTGTAGTCCAGTTTTTGCTGCGCCCATGTTGAAGTTGTTGTGTGGATAGCAGAGTCCCACAGATCACGAGCGTTGATAAAAGAGCGGCAGAGAGGTCCAACATAAACAAGCAGGCAGGCAAACACGAAGGCGAACACGAAAAGGCACGTGGCCTTGGCGAGCTGGGCTATCGGCGACCCACGATGACATGCAGGCTGGCTGGGCTTATCGGCGACCCACTTACATGAAGGCAGAGGCAGGAAACAGGCAGCAAAGTCAGTCAACGCTCAAGTGTGCCAAAACAGTAGGTAGAGCGCTATGACTTGTAAAACACATGGCAAATCCCAACACCCCTCCTCACGTCTTGCAGGCTACTGCGAGACGTGGACCACACAGAAGCTAATTACTTGTACGCAGTATGTAAATGTATGCAGGTAAACCTTGAGATGGCAGTGGAGTATAGGGAGTGGGCGCGGGAGAAGGTGCGTTCGTTAAAGCTCGAGGCCAAGGAGGCCAAGGCCAAGGACAGGGCGGATGAGGGGGGTCCGGCCAGGGGCACGAGGGCAGGGAAGAGGAAAAGGGAGCAGGAGGTGCCGACAGAGGATGATTAGTTGTTGACAGAGTCGGATGCAATGGAGGCGAAATGCGCATTTTACAACTGATGGGTGGTTTCGCGTGAGCCAGAGTCCTTTCGTGCTGGTTGGGATGGGCTGCAAGTCGATGCCATGAGTTCAATGTCATGTATAATGAAGCCGAACAGAACCAGGGAGGAAGCGCAAACCGGTCCTGTTCAGCTTCCTGTAGTCTGAATGGACACTTGGAAATGCATTTCAAAAACCAGCGAGCGAGTCATTCAGATGTCACGCCACACACGCACACACAGAGAAGGAAGAGGAAGGAAGGAAGAGGAAGGAAGGAAGGAAGGAGAAAGAAAGATAAGAGAAAGGAGGGAGACTGAGAGAGACACGATTCGCTGTATATCCGCTGAAACGGGCGCAAACCCGCATGCTTGCATGCCAGGACCGGAGCGTGTTGGGCTGCATGGTGTGTTGGTAGCGCTTGAGCTCCTTCTCGCCTGTGTGATGGTATCTGATCGGCCGCGGACGTATAAGCAGATTGGGCTTCTGACAGAGCCTTTCTAGCTAACTCACCACAACGACCAAGGTAGGAGGGTAGGAGTGCACCTTCGGCATCGTCGGTCTGCATGTTGTAGGGCGTTATGGCCTGCTTGGCTATCCTTCTTTCTCTCCTTCTGTTGTCTTCCTGCCTTCCTTGCACATGGGTGGTGTATTCACTTGATTGTTCAAGTTGTTTGTTGCATTTGATGGCTCAGTGGGCGTCCATGTTTCGCTTGCTTCCTCTGGCTTCTGTACACTTGCCAGGGCTTCTTGCTGTCGGGCGATATCGCCCGTTCTTGTGTATGTAGCCAGGGGAAGTGTTCGTGAACTTTCTACCATGCAGTCAGTGCCCTCTGCTGTCATCTGTGTGTCCGCCGGGTGGGTAGACAGGCCTGCATCACACAGACTCGTTCTTGCGTACCCCTTCGGGGGGCCGGGCGGCAAGGTGATGCACACGCACGAAGCATGCACAAGGCATCCCTATGGTCCACCACGAAAGGAAAGGCACTGTCACCCGGCCGACACACAGATGACAACAGGCACTGACTGCCTGGTAGAACGTTCACGAACACTTCCCCTGGCTACATACACAAGAACGGGCGATATCGCCCGACAGCAAGAAGCCCTGGCAAGTGTACAGAAGCCAGAGGAAGCAAGCGAAACATGAAAGCCCACTGTGTGAAAGCCAATTCCCTGTATTCCGGGTTAGAGACGCATAGTTGTAAAACACTGGCAAAACACTGGCAGGCCGCCCAGGAACCGTTCCTTTCTCCTTCTTTTTGCCCCGGCATGGTGGATTCAGCAGGGAACACTGAGCAGATCTTAGACGAGCTGCACCAGAATGTGCTCAAATGGGACTACTACGAAGACATCGTGGATGACCATATACTCATGCAACAGAGGCAACGGGCGTCCAGAAAGAGAGAGAGCGCCGCAGACGCCGACAAGCAAGTGGATGCTGAGGCGCAGCAGGAGACCTCTACCAAGAGCCCCATTGATGACCTCAAGTCTGTGCCCGTCCACTTCGGCAGTGCCAAGGAGTACAGCGACGTGTTCCTGCCTCTGTTCCTCGTCGAGACCAAGGCGACTATCGAGCGAGCCAAGACACTCGAGGCTGTCACTACCGAACCATGCAAACAGGTCCCTACTCACAGAACGGGCGAAGCCATGCATGTATGTTATTGGTTGCATGTCCGTCCAGACTAAGGCGCAGATGGTGGGCGACTTCGTTCGCCTGGAGCTGGAGCGTCCCTTCCGGTCGCATCTCATGTACAGCCACGCCGACCTAGTGCTCCTTTCTCAGCATCCAACGGCCAACTTCGCCCCTCCCTCCCAATCCCCCCCGTCCGCTCCCCCTGACCCCAAGGAGAATCATGAGGCAGCGGCGAACCCCGACCTCGATGACCTTGCCAAGATTCACACGCTGGGTATGGTGGAGAGCTCTGTGCGGGAGGTGCTGACGGTCAAGGTGTGTCTGGACTGCGACACGCCCAGGGGGCACATTGTGGCGGAGACCATCAACGGATTCAAGACATGGCACGTCACCCGCATCACGGGACTCACCACCATACACAGAGAGTTCCAGGTGGGAAGTACAAGGACACTTCCCTAGATGCGTCGCTCGTCAAGAGGCGCTTCTTTCCCATTTGGTGTCTTCTCCCTTAGGCCCTTTGTGCCGTCCCGGACCTGCTTCTGAAGGACTTCGTCCTCAACCCACGTTCCCTCGACGAGATCCCGCCAGACGGGCAGACACCAGCAGAGGATGATAAGAGGAAAGCTGGACCGAACGGGGCTGCCGCAAGTGATGAGGACGACCTGCGGCTTGTAGTTCCAGGGCGCCTGCTGGACACGCTTCGTGAGGAGTACAATGAATCGCAGTACGAGGCCATCCAGGCGTGCATGAGGACCAAGGGCATCACCCTCGTGCAGGGCCCCCCTGGTTAGACGGAGCAGGGCAACACCGAAAGAACGTGATTTGTGTTGTCGAGTTTCTGTTTAGGTACTGGCAAGACGACAACCATCTTGGGCGTGCTCAGCGTCATCTTGCACGCATCTGTGCGGAGGAGCGGTGCCAACCAGACACGACAGGGGAAGAAGGTACGACACCTAGCACTGCCTCGGTGGACAGTGCACTCCATCCCTCCTTGCTTGCTCCTCAGTCGACGGACGCCCCTTCTTCTCAGGACAAGGCAGCCCCCCACCGCTCGTCCACCAGCCCTCCGAGGCGCATCCGTGGGGCGTTGCGGCACATAGAGTGGCTCGACACAGGCAAGCTGGTGTCTGTCCTGCGCCCTGACGATCCTGATGTGGTGAGGAAGGAGGAATGTCGGCGGCTGCGAAGGGCACAGCCGTGGCTGTTCGAACGGGACTACAAGTGCTGGTGAGGGGGTAAGGGGTAGACAGCGGGAGGGATGAAGGCTCGTGACCGTACATCCCCTTGTCTATGAAGGTACGACAAGGTCACGTGGCGGCCTGAAGACCTCGCAAAGCCCAACCAGGTAAACACCAGTCGAGAAAGCCCCGGCTGAGAGTTGCTGCCATACGTGTGTATGCTTCCAGTATCCCACGGCTCAACAGACGGATCGCGTCATCAACATGTCAAAGATAAGCGAAGGATCACAACCAAAGTACGCCAAAATAAGAGCTCAGACGGTGTCTGCTTCATGCATGCAGAACCGTCCTTTCCCTCTCTCTCCCCTCAGGAAGGTGTTGGTGTGTGCCCCGTCCAATGCGGCGATCGACGAGATCGTGAGGCGGCTGGTGCACAAGGGCGTGTACAACAAAGAGGGCAAACGAGTCATACCACAGGTGAGCCAAGAGAAGACTAGGGAGAAGATGAGATGGGACGGCACACGGAGGTGCTTGGATCTGTCAGTGCAGGTGGTTCGTGTGGGTCCGAACAGCCATCCGGACATTCTTGAGCATGGGCTTGAGCATCTGACCAACCTGCGACTCAAGGCCAAAGCGGACACATCATTCTCCCAGAGAGATGTGGGCAAAGCTGCGACAACACACATACACGGACCCGCCTCATACCGGACTATCTTTCGTCTTTTGTCTTACCAGGCTGTGCGTATGGGCATCCTGTCTGAGGCGCGTGTGGTGTGTGCCACCCTGTCTGTCTGCGGCGGTCGAGATCTGACCTCCTTCGCAGACGGATTCGACACGGTCATCATCGACGAGGCCTCACAGGCAAGCAAGGCAGAGGAGAGAAACACGCTCATGCAAGGCGTGCACTCCCATGTGTGTGGTGTTGTCTGGAGTGGATGGATGTGCATGCAGGGTGTGGAGATGTCTGTGTTGATTCCATTCAAGCTCGGCGCCAGGCGGGTCATCTTGGTGGGCGATCACAGGCAGCTCCCCGCCACAGTCTTCTCCAAGATATGCGAAGAACACGTAACAGAATTGCCGCAAAACACCAAATCATAGGAGCTCCGAGCGAACAGCAAACGTATGCGTGTATGTACGTTGTGTGGCAACAACAGGGATACAACCGGTCGCTGTTTCAGCGGTTGCTCGAGGGCCACTATCCTGTGACATTGCTGTCTGTGCAGTACCGGATGCACCCCACCATTGCCGAATTCCCATCCAAAGAGTGAGAACTCGCGCACCAGTGACTCAACGCATTCCGCACACGTGCCTTCCCTTGCCGTGTGACAGGTTTTACGACGAGCAGCTGAACAACGCGCCCAACATCGACGAGCTGGTCAAGGCTCCTCCCTGGTACTGTGTGCCAGCCCTGCAGCCCGTTGTGTTCTTCCACGTCAAGACCAGGGAACAGGCACGTCAGACACACAGACGGAAAAGGGAGCCCTGCGTGTTGTGCGCATGTGCTGTTGCGTGCATATGGGTGTGGTCGTCAGGCTGAGGGGTCATCTCTTGTCAATCCGGAGGAAGCTGATTTCGTCGTGCAGATATTTCTCACCCTCACGCAGATGGTCAGCAAGGCGGAAAGCAACAGATGACGGCATACATGTAGATGTGTCGTTTCCTTTTCAGATATCCGAGTTCGATTGGCGAAAGAAGCTGGCTGTTGTGACGCCCTACGCCGAGCAAGTGCGGCTCATCAGACAGAAATTCAGAGATGTCCTGGGGGTAAACAGATGAACAGCCAATCCGGAACGGCACATCGAATGGTCGCCGCTGCATGTCTGTACAACGTGTCAGACTCGTTCGACTGCGCCCCTGCCGATTGAGGTCAACACTGTGGACGGCTTCCAAGTAAGGGAAATCCCACACTCAAAAGATGCACTATCCATGGATGGCCTCTCGCCCCCCTCTCCCGCATTCCCTCTGTCTGTCTGCCTGCCTGCCTGTCAGGGTCGCGAGAAAGACTGCGTGATCTTCAGCGCCGTCCGCGGGCACAGCAAGAAGAAGACCATCGGCTTCGTGGCCGACACGCGGCGCATGAACGTCGCCCTCACTCGCGCGCGCTTCAACTTGTGGGTCGTGGCCAACGCCGAGACGCTCGTCATCAACCCACACTGGCGGACATTCATCAGGACGCAGCAGAACCAGGGCAGGTTCCTGCGCGTCACACCACCCAGCGAGAAGTTCCTCGCAAAGTACATCAGGGGCTGGTACAAACGCACACCGGTAAGGCAAAGACGGACGGATGTGCGTGGCCGGCCGCTCATGAGCTTTCCTTTCTTTGCTCCTTCCCTCTGCCTTGTTCCCTCTCTGTGGCATCATCAGGATGCGCCCTGGCGGCCGTCTGATGTGAGTTTTCTCCGCCAGCTCGATGAGGGGGAGGACGATAAGATACTCGAAGAAGCACGCAAAGAGTAAGCCACCCCCCATCAATCACACCACCAGAGACAGTGTAAGCAGGTCCATCATGCCACCTCTGTTGTCTCGTGGACAGGTTTGACATTCAGGCGGTGCTTCAGCGGTTCCGCGAAGAGGATGAGGGGAACGACCTGCGCGACGGTGCAGAGGAAATCGAACCTGACGATGTGTGGAAACGCCTGACGGAAAGGTGCGGCCAGGAAAGGACGAAGGTGGATCTGCTATACCTGCAGGCACGTCTGTGTGCATGCCCTGTTGATGTGACCGCAGTGCCCTCGCCGAGCAGGAGCAGAGCGCTGAAGCAGAGGCAGCAGCCGAGCAGGATATCGACGCAAACCAGGGCAATGAGGCCAAACGGAAGCGACAGAAGTCAAGGGAGGCATCGGACGCCATGGTGGACGTCGAGTACACTGCCGAGAGAGGAGGCGGCAACTTGGAGGATGCCATAGAGCAGCCAGAGGAATGAGCTCGAGAAACAGGCACACATGCCCAGGTCCCCCTGATCCATGAAGACTTGTCGAAAAAAACACATGAACGCACGAGCGAATTGTCACATGAATTCACGTTGATCGCCCACGCAGAGCCGACTCAAAATACGAATAAAGACGCCACAAAAGGCTCCCCCCTCCCTCGTTCCTCACGATCGTTTTTGTGAGGACGGCATCGTCAGAACCGTTCATCGTCACTGTCGTCGTCATCAAACTGGGGCTGTGATGACGGCAGATGCTTCCTATCTTCCCTCCCACCACCCCTGCCATTCTGTTGACTCATCTCCACCCCCCTGGCCGACTGACGGCCGGTCTTGCGCTTGCCAGGCATGCAGGACAGCAGGCTTGTCAGCGCTGACGGCGGCGGACCATCGTCATCATCGTCACTGTCGCTTGATGCGTTGTCCTCAGTGGAGTTGGATGGTGTGGCGGGCGGCCGCGAGGACGACGGGTACATGGCCGTCTGGGTGGCCTCAGGGTTCTCGTCGATCTTCTGCTTCACCCGCTTCCTCAAGTGCTTCCAGAACGCCACAAGAGGGATCGGCAGAACCGACACTATGGCGACCTGAAACCAAAGAAACCAGAAACGAGTGGCTATAGTGTACGCTGTGCACTTGTGTGCGTTGTACCATGAATCCGACGAATAGTGCCCATGGCGGAAACCCCTTTGCGTACTTGTCTCCTCTGCACGATTCGCCCTCGAACTCAGCAAAGCACGTACATTGCTGAGTGGTCTCGTCGCACACGCCCTGTCCATTACAGTCCTCTGGGCAGGAATACACTCGCGTGTCGATCTTCGTCGTGCAGTCGGCGCCGCCCCACCCGCGCTTGCACCGACAGAACATATTGCGCGTCTCACACACGCCGCGTGGCGGGTTTGCGTCGGCGCCACAGGTGCCGACGCAGCCTTTGCCCACCGAAGGCTGCCGTGAGTGTTGAAAGTTGCTGCGTCTCTCCACGGCAAACACCATCACCGAGGAAAGGAGGAGGATGGCTATGCCGATAGGAGTGACGTAACGGTAGACCAACCTCATGGCCTTGCTTATGCGCATGCCTGCACTCAACGGACACACGACAGAGGAATGGGTTGATGTGGCTGCGTCGATGTCCCATGGATGTGAGCTCACCTGTCATTTCGGCTACGTCCTCGCTGAATCGACCCAGTTTGTAGATGTGCACGACCGCCAGCACCTCGACCAATGCGACGACAAACAAGGCAAATGCGCCAGTAAAGTCATCCAGCAGGTCGACCCAATACTTCCCAACAGGGCTTATCAGGAGCAAACCGACGGCCCACATGACGGCGCATATCGCCGCAGCCACTTTCCATTTCTTGATTCCCTGATTGAAGAAAGTGGTGTGCAAGGATCTCATCTACTTGTTGCGTGCTGTCAAATGAGGCCTTCATCCACCTGAAAGAGGCTGGCTTCGACGATGCTGGTCATCACCACCTCCACCATACAGAACTCAGAACCCAAGCCCTTGGTGCAAATGCAATACTTCTCAGTGCAATATTTTTCAACGTCAAGCTGGTATCATATCCTCACCAAGCAGATTAACCTGCACACACATGAGAGGAAATCAGGACAGCCTTGCGTGTCGTCTGCAGATAATCACCTACATCAGGAAGAAGAGGATGGAGAAGACGAAGGCGTGGTTCATGGTGCCCAGGCCAGCGGGGTACACCACGAACGCCAAGCCGCTGCCCGCACGAGCCACCTCGTCAATCGGCAGCCCAGTCTACCATACACGAATCAGCAGGTGATGGCAGCTGTGCTCAGCTGCGGTCTTCCTGGTCACCTTGAAGGCCATGTATCCCAACACAGAAAAGACGACGAACCCCGCAAAAAGCGATGTGCCGCAATTGACGATACAGACGATCAACGTGTCCATGAAGATGTTATTTTTCTGGAACACAGAACAAACCAACAGGTCGCACCAGTGAGACGCGATATCTCTACCTGACGCACCTGACTGTTGAATGACGCAAAGTTGATCAGCGACCCCCACGAGATACCGATGGAAAAGAAGATCTGACTGCCGGCTATACTCCACACACGAAAGTTCGCCAGACGGGTGAGATCGGGTTTCAGGTAGTACCTGAAGCCGTCGCATTAGTACAAATGTTTGGCGCGTTTGTCTTGTGTATTTGCTTTGTTGGGCCCTTCCTTCCTTACTTGATCCCTTCCACGGCCCCAGGCAGTGTGACGCCCCTCACGAAGAGGATGGCCAAGACAACGTAGGGAAAGAGGGCAGTGAAGTAGACCACCTTGCCTGTGCTGCTGATGCCGCGGAATATGCAGAAGTAAACCATCAGCCACGCGATTGTGAGGCATGCAATCATCAGCGGAGAGATGCCCCAGCCACCTCCTCCATTCATGTCTGGTGCTTGTCGAAGTGCCTCCTCTAGCCAGAACCTATCAAACGACATGTGCACTGACGGCGCTTCCTCTTTGGTCGTGGACCCGTTCTTCTGACTTTTTCGCAGAATCCGCTGCGTCCACGCCCCCTTCAGTCCATGGCAGCACGGGGGAAAAGGAGTGGATAAAAAAGTAAATCGCCCAAGTGATTATGATGCTGAAACGACACGATAATTCGCCATGTGGGACATGTGCGTTTCAGCATTCCTTGTTGTGTATGAATCACTTGTAGTAGAGCGCGCAGATGCCACTAAGGATCGCAGAGGCCACACCCAGGCCACTCAGCTTCGAGTGGACACTTCGCCACACCTGCAGAAAGCAGCAGATGTCAGCTTTGAACCGATCCAATGCTTTGCAAAGCTTACACGGACATGCCCCATCTGTAGCTTCTGCCCCATCGCGAGCTCGAGCAGGAACATGGGCATACCCAGGAGCAGCAGCGCGACGAAGTACGGCACCAAGAAGGCACCCCCGCCATTCTGTGATGGGATCATCAAAAAAAGGCAAATATACACGCAGACAGACAGAATCACAAAGACGCGATCCTTATCCCGCTCGCAGTCCGTAACGATACCTCATAACAGAGGTACGGGAATCGCCACAAATTGCCAAGACCGACAGCACTATACACAACAAACACATGGGACGGGACACATTGCAGTCACCTCTCTCGCCTTGTTTGTTCTTCTTTGGTCGGCTTCTTCACTGACAACGAAATGCAGCTGAGCATATACTCGGTTTTGGATGACCATTTGGGCCGTTTGCGGTGTCTGCCGGTGCCCTCCTTGGCCTCGACCATCATGGCGATGGTGCTCAGGCGGTTGAAAGCAGGTAGTAGGGCGAGATGCTTGTTTTCCTCCATGTACGCCTGCTGCCACTGTGCAGCCCGGACCTCGGCCATTCGCTCTCGATCGGCATCAGTGAGCTAAACGCATGAGACCAGGCAGACAAGTGTTTGCAAGCACAAGAATCACTTTCTTACTGAGTAGGCTCGGCGTCGTGTCCTCCACTGGTGCGCGGAGGGGGGGAAGCGGTGCTGCTGGTCCTTGTGGTCAAGGTCCACGAGGGCATCCACAACACGAGGCCCTGGCCCATCGGTGTGGTCGTGATTGGGCGGGGTGGAAGCCGTGGAGGCAGATGACGTCACACCATTGTGATTCTCCTCAGAGTCGGGAAGGTCTGCAGCTTGACTCTCGAAAGCAGCACTCGCCATAAGTAGTTCTGCTGCAAGAAGGGCGGGGAGGGAGGGAAAGGACTGGTCGCTTTCCGTTACTTCAACCAAACCAAAAGGAGCCTTGTTTTACGGGGGTGGCAAGGGGCATCCCCGATCGCTGCGCGTCCGCTCCCCGGGTTGGCCGTCTCCTGCTGGTCCCGGGGATGCGGATGCCGAACGCCGAATGCCGAATGCCGGGTAATGCGATGGTGAGTAACTCTCACCTCGCCTTGCGACATATCACCGTGAGATCACCGTGAAAAACCAAAACATCATCAACACTACAATGCGCGTCCACACGCTGACGTGGACGCGCCATCAAGGCGAGCCCCACCTGGGCCAGGATCGCCCGGCGGCTCGCACTCGCGAGCAAGCGCTTGCTAGCTGCGAGTGCGAGAGGGAGCCCTCGCCTGCTCACGCTCGGCCATGCACAGATCTCGGCGCACAAAGTCTGCACACATATGGAGCTGTTTTCCATCGCGTTGTCTCACGGTGAGGCGGTGTGTAGAAGGTATTGTGTGGCGTGTAGATGGCAGGGGGGCTGTGAGGTGGCTGGCTGGGTCTGGATGTTGTGAGTGTGTGTGTCGTGTGTATCGTGATGCATCATGATGTCTCACGCTTGTTTGCAGTGTGTGCCACTGTGTGGCGTGCAATTGTTTGCGTTTTTCGTTGGCTTTGCATGGCTGTGTTTTGTGCTTGCTCGGTGTGGACTGATGCTTGCACGTGGATGTGCAGATAAGATCTTGTTTCGTTCTTAATCGATGGTGTTTTCGACGTGGGGTGAAGTGTCCCCCTCGGGTATTGAGCGATGAGAACTTGAAGTGGTGGGGCGAAAAGCTGGTGCTTCGGCCGGCAAGCTGGCCCTCCACTCAGAAAGCTGGACAGACACTCACAAGCCATACAGCACGTTTGCTTGTCTTCTGGAGGAGAATGCTTGGCCGCGGAGGATACTGGTTGGCCACGGGCTCCTCATTTCGTCCAATTCCTTCCATTTCCAGCCTTCCGTTGCTGTGAACTCTTTGTGACGTTGTGAGGCCTTACTCGTGTCTGTGTGTGTCTGTGTCTGTGTCTGTGTCTGTGTCTGTGTGTGTGTGTGTGTGTTGTGCGTCAGTTGATGAATCGTGAGTGTTTCTCATGAATAGGTGTCTGAGACGCATCGAGCAAGCGCTATTGGTGGTGGTTAAGCGCTATTTTGTATGGCGCGAACAAGCACAAAAAAGGCGACTTGCCCTATTCCGTCTGTCGGTCTTCAAATGGACGCATGCATGACCATGAAAGGCTGCTCCGAGTTGCAGCTGAGATCGGTCCTTCAACTGCTGTCGTGCTTCCCTTTCGACAGATGTGCATACACCGCCTCAATCGCTTTCCCCAGTGGTATTTCCCGCTCACCTCCTCCGATCCTTATCCTGATCTCCGTCGGCCGATCTGCTACTGGACTTTGCGCCAGGTACACGAGCATCGTTTCCATGAGAAAGTGAGCACTTTCGTCATTGCTCGTGACTTTGTACTGGGACACGAACAGAAGGAAGAAGGCAAACTCAAAGATGGAAAGCAGCAGCAGCAGCAGAGTGTTGTCTCTCAAGATGGAAGCCCAGTCGAGGTCTTGGGGACGTGCTTTGGCCCACAGGCGAGGTGTCCCGAAGGTCCAGGACAAAACGACGAGAGCCGAAATGACGTTAAACCAGATGGCCTGATGAAGCAGCCGACTATTGGCATCAAGGCGCCGACGACCATGTGCGATTGCTGTTCACAAGCAGATAGATGGAGCAGCACAGAGTAGCCACACAGAACACACCATCGACATTCACCGAGACGTACCCTTTTCTCGCTTGTCCAGGAGGAACTCTCTCAGGAAAGAGCCCACGCGGTCTTTGCCTTCCAAAGTCTCGTTTGAATTCTCGAACAGCCCTTGCCAAAGGCCTGATGAGGCATTTCCTGAACCATCGCGCCGGACAATTCCTAGCAAGACTTGCTGCAGTAATGACATGCAAATCCAGATTCCCCCCAATGCAGATTCCCTCCCTGACCTGTTCAATCTGCTGGCGCCGTGCAGCATCTGTGAGGGCGTACTGGGCCGCCCAGAGCAGATGCTGACCTGTCGCTGTTTGGTTGAGCTCTTTCACAATTGTCCTTGCTGCGACGAACGCCGTGCTGTGCAAATCACGATTAAAACTTGCCGTCTCTCGCCGGCTGACGTAGGCAAAGAAAAAGACGGTCTCCACGACGACAATGAGAAGGATGTGCAACAGGATAGCCGTCATGCTCTGATACAGCGAATTCGAGCCCTTCAGGGCGCGTCCTGTTGCGGCGACGGTCAAGTCTTCCTGGTGGGGCTTCGGCCGAAGCGCCGAGGTGCCAATCTCGCCGAGCGAGGGAGTGGCATTGGCCATTTTGGTTCAGAACACGAGGAAACTTCTGGACTCGGGGCATGTGCCCAGTTCGGGCCCCCACACCCGAACAGTTCCCAGGATTGTTCGGAACAAAGACACACATAATACACAAGGGACGCCCATGACTAATCGCTAAATTGAAAATGTCACACGGCCCACCCACTTTAAGACTCAGACACATGAGAAGACGGCCAAAGATGAGATCGTGTCAGGCAGCTATGTAGTGGGCTGCGAGCAGCCAGGTGGCTGCTGTGATCACAGCCACCTCTGTAGCACTCTGGTGTGCGTGTGCACCACTGTCCTTCGATTCTTCAGGTGCCTGTGTGCTGAGATCAGGTTAAGCAGACACATGGCAGTTTAGAGAAGCGAGAGCCGATCTGCATCTAAGTGTGCCTACCTGGCCGTGGGGTCCGCTGCCACCAGCATGTAGTCACCAAGTGACAGCTGATCACGGGAGACACCCTCTAGGACCATCTGGTGCTCCTCGTCTATCTTGATGATCACACTGCCTTCCGCGAAATCCAGGTCATTAGGGTCAGAGATCTGGAAGCCGCGGAGGTCAAGCTGGTCCGTGCCAGGGGTGAAGTCGGTGACCTAATTAACACATGACAGGATATGTGATTGGTCGCAGGTGCGCTGTGTGAATTCAGTGACCGTGGATGTGCCTGGCAGGTCGCTCATCACAAACAGGTCATTGCCTGCTCCTCCTGAACAGTGTACACGTGCCCACAGACACGTAACAGGCGACGCTCGCCGCCATTCCTCTATCACATACCGGTAAGCTTATCATTGCCTCCGCCGCCATCTGCTCAGCCGGCGGACAGGGAACACATACAGAGAGAGGCATGATATCTTAATCGACGGCTCTGAGTGCCTGTGTCTGTCACCGACTGAGAATATCAGTGCCCTCTCCTCCGTCGAGCTCGTTATCGGATGTACTCCCGATAATCTCATCCGGCTGTGAGGTACCCTTCACGTTCTGCACCGGAGAGTTGGGTGACAGCTTGACGAAGGTTGGTGCCGTGGCCTCTTCGCACTTGAGCACTCCCGCCTCCTGCTTGCACCCGTCAGCCTCGGAGGGAAGGTGCTCCCCCTGGTCACGAAACTGTGATAGAATATACAGGATGGCAGTAGAGACATGGCACTTTAGGTAAGCACACACAGAGATCTGAGCCTGCTTACCTGGTCAAATCCTTTCTGTATCCCGTCCCAGTCCGCACGAGGCGGAGGAGGCGTTGGCTGCAATCATCAGCCCGGACCCTCAAATGACTGCTGTATTTGTGTATCTGTGTCTGCACCTTCGTGCCCTCCTTGGAATAGAGAGGAAAGTCGGGACAGTCCGTGCAATCGGAGGTGGTCGCGCTGCAATCACACGAAAGGTAGTCGGAGCCAAATCGGATTCATCCGCCGCCTACCCAAGGCCCTTGATTGCGTCGCTCACAAGAAGGCACCCCGACACCAGACTATACTTGTTTTTGATGTCGTCGTAATAGATTTTGGCGTAGTCACCCACAGGCTTGCTGTCTTGGAGGCGCGCATTCGCAGCGTCTTTCTTCAAGTCCTCTGCAGGACGAGGAACAGAGGGAGGATCATGTCATCCGCAGGATACCGCAGGATCATGTCCGGACCGCGTACCATAGTAATTCTGCAGGATATTGTCCTTGAGTCTGCTGTCGCGCAGGTGCCCCTTGGCATGATCGATCAGGTCGTTGATGTTCTCCCTCGTCAGAAGCTCGTCTGCCACCAGAACACCGTCTCTGACCGCAGTCTCGTTATCTAGATCATTTCCGAGGTCCTCTATTTCCTTGTAGATGCCGGTGCGCAGTTTCTTCTCCTCTTTGACGACGTGTTCCCAGCCGTCACCGACAGCATCCGTCGAGTTCGCATACGTGACTTTGTCAGCCTTGCTTTCCAGGCTCTGCGTCGCGTTCTCGAGCTCAGCCGAAGGGTTCTCGATGATGTCCTCGGCAATTTTCACAAAGTTGTCGACCGTCTCGCTGTCGATCAGGGCTTCGAAGGCGGACGAAAGGTTTTTGCCCGCTTCCTCCGCCATGAGAATGTCATAGCTGTTCTCGACGTCTTGGCCCGTGCTTTCACCGTGGAGGTACTTGCGTACTTCGACTGTCAAATTGGTCGCTGACTGTCTCTTCAAGACAGCGGATGCGGAATCCACCAATTCCATGATCTCTGGAGCGTCAAGCACCTTCTCAGCCTCCTCCGTCAGATTCTTTGCACTGGGTCTGAAGTTAAGGCAGCGTTCAATTAGTGTGTCTCTCTGCTCGCACGGCGACACTTTGCGCGTACTTCTTGATCAAGATGTCGGCTTGCTCCACTGTGGCGGCCGTGGCGGTCTCCTTGAGCATGACTTCCACTTGGCGAATGAGTTCCTGGACGTGGGCCGTCTTCGCCAAGTCCTCGGCGGCTGCGCAATAAGGGAGCGACAATAAAGGAAAGCGACAGTAAAGGCCAAAGCTGCACCATTCGGGACTTACGTTGCAGATAGTCCTGCACCTCCTCCCAGCACAGCAGCCCATTTCCGTCCTTGTCCATTTCCTTTGCGTACGGCACTGCCTCTTTGCAAGCCGCCGTGCACTCTGTGCTTGCTTGCACTCGAAGGATAGTAAGGCATCCGATGAGGCATAGGAGCTCAGAAAAACCCCTCATGACGCAGACAAAGGAGACCCCCAAATATCGGTGGAGCGGGTGCCGATCGCGGGGGCCCCAGACCCAGTATAGTATTGCACTGCAGTGTTGCTGAGTATTTGGAAGCCCCTAAGGGGCTGTCTTCCCGTACAAATCAGAAAAGTCTGTATGCAGTACAGTGTAGGTGCGGATCTGGATTTGTAGTGTACGGCGCGAATTGAATTTCGTTCGCGTTGTTCATCGCCTTCGCACGGTTGGCACCCCGTCAAACATCCATGGCATTGCCTTCTCAGATGAATCAATTGACTTGGCACCAGTCGTGTCGTCCTGCGTAAAGAGGACATGAACACGCAACGGGCAGGGAGAGAGGGAACGCGCAGGCAGGCTCTCTCTCTCTCTCTCTCACACACACACACACACACACGTGCCTGCCACACATACATACGTGCACGCCCACATGCATACCAAACACACACATGGACATGCAACAGAAAGAGCGTCAACGGATAAATACGTACAAAGCGGAGAATGAATGCTCCCGCCCCATATGCACCACACACACGACGCACACATGCACATCAGGGTGACTGGGTGGGTGGGTGGGTGGCTGCGATGCACTCACTGGGCGGTGATGAACACCTCTCCCGTCTCGCTTACACAGAAACAATTCCATCGTTAACACCCACCCACCCACCCACCCATCCAGCGGCCCACTCCCGCCCAGTCCGAGTGCGGGCACCATCCTTTGAAACAGCACTGACTGTGTGTGTCGCCGTCTCGACGCGTTTGCACGGGGCTCACAGGACAAGAACCCGACCCATGCACACACCACGCACATACACGGGTAGCAACACTGGATGCAGTAGTCCCTCAAGCGTCACGCACGCGGCAACGAGACGAGCAGCCAGAGTACCCACTGGACAAAACGCCCCGATACGTAGGAAGGAAGAAATGGCAGGCAGCGAGGCAGCGAGTACGAGACATCTCCTCGGCGCACGTCCAGCTGATTACGACAACTCATGACCATCATGGAAAAGCCTCAAAAAAAGGCCTCCTCGAAATGCGAACGGGAAAGCAAAAGTCAACCCAACGTTCTTTGTACCCCATGTGCACTTGGTACGCACCGGAGTCACCGGACAGACACTTGGTCGCCTCCCTTGTTGGCTTTAGGCGAGCAGACGATCTGGATGGAACTTATACGTACACACGCACACACACACATGCAAAAGTGTGCAGACGAAGTGCATGAATGGAAAAACCATTGACTAGGTTGCACACGTGCACACGAAAAGAAAGAAAGTAGCCACGACCATCCCTCAGTCGGCATACCCCAACCCAACCCAACCCACACGCCACACTCACACAAGAGTCGCACAACCCCCCACAGAAACATGCATCTGGTCGCCCCCCGTTGCTGCCCTCCCTCCCTCCCTCCCTCTCTCTCCTGTCTGTCTGTCTGTCTGTCTGTCTGTGGTCGGGGTTCACTCACTTGCCCCCCGAGGCGCCCATCCCAGCACGTGTGAGCATGCGTCCCAGAGCGAGCAAGGTCCTGGCGAGGAGCTCGTTGAACGGATTCGGCGAGTGGACTTCAGCGATATCCTCCTCTTCCTTGTCGCCCTCCTCGTCCTCTTCGGTCTCCCCCTGACCATGCTCTGCTCCTGCTCTGTCTGGTCGTGGGTCTGCTGGCGCTTGTCCTCGCCGCGCATCTGGCCCTCGGGCAGCTCCTGTTGGTCTTCCTCCTGATGGCCCTGCTGCTCGGGCTGCTCCTGTGGCTCCTGCTGCTGGTCGTCGCTGGGATGCATGACCGCGGGCATGGGTGCGGGTTGGTTGAGGGCCACGCGGCGACCGGTCAGCAGAGGGTTCTGCTGGACTACGACGGCTGGTGCGGGGGGCTGGTTGAGCGTGACGCGGCGGGACGGCATCAGGTACTCACGCCCCACCGCGACATGGCGACGCTCACTCGGGTTGTGGATGCTGCAGCAATGAGATTAGGTAGAGACAACAAGGAAGGTGTTGCATATTTGAGGACACAGTGGGTGTTTTGTCTAGGGTGACTCGCTCACTCGGGGCAGTATGGGTCCCGGCAGGCGCCCGCCTGATAAGCCTCGCAGACGATGGTCTTGTACGTCAGCGGGTGGAAACGTAGCTCCTCTGACACATCATGAGTACAAACATATATATGCGGTGCATCGATGGCTCGTGGCTGCCTCTGCTGTTCTGAGGTGTTGTGCACTTCACGTACCAACGGAGTGTGCGAATGGGCAGTGAGGCCCCCGAGGGCACCTTTCGGGGTCATCGATGTAGGCACAGCGCTCAGGGCCATACTCGAGCCTGATGGGCGTCTCGTCCACATTCGTCCTGTATGGTCGTCTGCGCACGTCTAACCCCTCCTCATGGTTGTGCTGCACCCGACAGACAGACAACACACACCATACACAGACGAGGGGTCAGATCCGACCCTCACTGCCCAGCTCAACAACCATTGTGCGTCTCCCCTCCCTCACCACTCGTCGCCTACCGAGAACACACAGCCCCGACCGAAGGGACATGAGGCGCCGTGCTTGCACTCAAGCGTCCTGAAAAATGGCAATGGCGTGCTCCACAAGGCACATGCGTCCCCACGCAGTGATCTACCTGAATTTCGCCAGGTTTGACCCCTTCAGCACAGTCTTGGGCCTCTGGTGCATCCTGCTGGGCTTGCTTTTTTGAAAAAGGGGGACAAAGGGAAGAACCTGCGATCTGATCTTCCTGCGCGCTCAAGGAGGGAAAAGAGGGCCCTGCTTCAGGAAGCCCCCTCAGGCTCCGCATGTGACCCACACAACACACAGACGTAGGCTTTAGTCCCTGTCGCGCTGTCTGTCCGCGTGTCTGTCCGAGGTGTCCCTGTCACGCTATGGACCACTTGGTGAGGAGCTTTGGCCTGACGCCCACACGACACAACACCAGTCCGTGAGAACCCATCATCGCTCTTGTCGCCCGACCAAAATAGCCACGGGTATGTATTTCTTGGGGGGTCCGCCCATGAGGGGGGGTGGCGTGAGGGCTGGCTGGTTTGTGTATGCATGCGTCTGTCGTGGTCGTCTGTGTGTGCGTCAGGCTGATTGGTGGTGAGGGAAGGGCTGGGCTCCCGCCTCTTTATTGAGTCGTGTGGTTGTTTGGTTGAGATCAACCTGCCTACCTACCCACTCCGGGGATGATGGCTGATCGTAAGACCTCCCTGACGCTGCCTCAGTCACGATTCAAGTTCAGAGAACAGGTGAGGGGGGAAGGAACAAACAGACAGACAGACAGACAGACACAGCACAGGAGAAGGAATGCACAATGCGTCATGGCCTCTGTCGGTATTCTTTTCTCAGTTCTTCAAGAGCCGGTTGGTGCAACCATCTCTAGCTAGAAGCACAGGGACACAGGAAGGGACGCCCATGCATTTATGTGGTTGTGGTTGCAGTTTGTGTCCGTGGCATGCGAAGGGCGAGTGTCGCTTTATGAACCACCCCAGCCAATGCAGATTCGCACACGGCATACACGACCTGGTCAGTTCAGTGCGCACCCAACCCACACTCAACTCAACCCTCCTCGTATATGGTCATGTGTGCTTTCTCTCTCTTTGCGCAGCGTGAGGGGCCTGATCTGAACTTCACGTCACTCTGCCGCACTGTAAAAGAGGTCGGTCCAGCACTGATCAAGAGGGACAGCGGACGGATTTGTCAAAATGCGGTGGCATGAATGAATGAACGGATGGATGGGTGCGTGCAGGGGACGACGTGTCCGCGGGGACCTTTGTGTCCATGTAAGTTGACGAGAGCACGTGTCATGCGATCCGCGTACGTGTATCCATTCTGTGGTGGCTGTGGTTGTCTGCAGTTGCGCACTCTGAGTCGGAACTCAGAGCTACCGGACTCTTCAGAAAGACCAAAGGTGACCCCACAGGATCCATTTGCCATCTATGTCTACCGGTGTCTGTTTATTGCGTCTGCGTCTTGTTCCCGTGTGCAGTCTGTCCGCAGTGGATTCGGGGTGAGAACCATGTCACATTTGTGCTATGGGCGATCATCAAGCCGACCCATGCCTTGTTAATGCTCAGGTCAGTGCAAGTTCTCGTCCACCGAGTGCCGCCACGCCCACGGCAACGCGGAGCTCTCACCATCCGAGCGGGCCGCCGAAGCAGCACGCACACTCTTCATCCGCGACAATGCCGCTGTCGCCGTCGACTCGCCCCCTCCACCGCCCCCACCACCTCCACCCCCTCCTCCCCCTCCACCCCCGCCCCCTGCTGAGCAGCACCAGCTGGTGTTCCCGGCCGTGCAGACGCTCGCCGACTACCTGCGGGAGAACGGGGGGCTAGTGTTGCCCAACAGTGGGGTGGAGATCGAGCTGGAGGCACCTTCACTGTTTCAGTCGGTGGTCGATGGGGGCAGTGGAGTCATGGGGGCGGCGGACATGAGAGCGCTGTTTGGCGGGACTGGTCTGGGGGTGGGGATGGGTGTTGGGATGGGTATGGGCGTGGGGATGGGGGGTGTGGACGTGGGTGAGTCGAGTACACGGTCCAAGTCGGACGACAACGACGCTGCTGAGGGGCGCGTGATGATGCAGACCAACTTGACGTTGCCACCACGGTAACAGGGGAGAGAGGGGAAATGGAGACAGCTCTTTGTATTGTTGGGAGTGGTGCTGTTGTGTTGTGCAGGTACATGCCTGACGACGTGCCGCCCCCGTACTGGCTGGAGGATGTGCTGCCCTCCACGCCCATCACGTTTCCAAACCACCCTAGCACAAAGGTCAGAGAGGCATATCCACACAGATCCCCCTCTACAGACCAAGACACCTGTCTGTCTGTCTGTCTGTCAGGCGATCATGTTGCAGGAGCAACTCAAGGACAGCATCGGCAACTGCACGTCGCCTTCCACCAACACCACCACAGCAGACTACTCCACCAGCAATGCCACCATCGCACACGCAGACCCATCGGCCATCGTGGCCTCCCGACTCACCGCATCGCTCCTCGACTTCCTCGACGGCAACAACGGCCAGGCCGCCACCGACACCACTCCACACCCACATGCCGCCAGCGGCACCCACATGGGCCCCAAGGGGGTGGCGGACGAGCAACTGTGGGGCGGCAGACGCGAGAACACTTTCAACCGAAGCGGACGCGCGTGATAGAAGGGATAGAGGGATGGGGGGGGGATGGCTGGATGGGAAATGGACTGGTCGATGAATGAGCGGTGAACGTGTTGAGAGTGCTTTGTCTGTGTGCGTGGCCGGGGGTATAAGAGGTGCCTGAGTTGTTGTACTTGGGGCGGGGCAGGGTGGGTCGGGGAGGGACACCACCCGTTGGCCTGCCTTTATCCGATTGCCCGCACACATACCGACCTACCTGCCTGCGTGCTTCTCATTGGCTCGCATCTAGACGTAACATGCCACCTGTCTGTCTGTCTGTCTGTGTGGGGGAGGGAGGGGGCCAATGTGTGCAGTGCAATACAATACAATACAATACGACTAACACAGGAGGGTGGCGATGGGGTGGGGATCGGGTGGGGTGGGTGCACGGGGGAATCAGGAGCGATTGCACGCCTCTTTTTCAGTGGTCACCCTCTCTCTATCCCTTTATCACATCCGCACACGTGGGCCGCACTTAAGAAGATGAGTCAACACACGAGTGAATCAATGAATGACATCGCTTGCCTGCTGTGACCCGGTGACACGGCGTGCTGACCGATGGGTGGTGCTCACCCGTGCTACTGACTGTTTGTTGTGTAGATACGTATGTGTGCAGTGTGTGTATGTGTGTATAATGCTCGCCTGTGTTGGTGAGATACCGTTGTGGATTGCTGTGCGTATACGCTGTTGACGTGTGGCCCCTTTGATTTCTCTTTGTTGTTGTTGCTTCGGTCCCCACAAGTCATGCAAGTCACCCCGAATGGCCGATCGATCCCGCAGGCAGGCAGGCAGGCAGTGCTATTGCTCTTTATCTCATGTTTTCTTGCTGCCCCATGGCGGTCAGCCAGGCGCCAGCAGTGCAATGCTCGCTCGTTTCAACTCACTCTGTGTGCCGGGGCACTTCCGACTCTCGCCATCTCTGCAGCCAGCCAGCTCCCTTTATCTGTCTGTCTGTCTCTTGTGTGGTGTGCACGCGGACGAGTTCACTCTCACAAGACGATATACACTTAACGGACAATGAGCTTATCTGTCTGTCTGCGCTTGACGCACCAGAGAGGGGCAAACACACGAGTGACATGGACTAGGCAAACGGGACACGTACTAGCTAGTAGGATACACGACGGAACGATTGATGCCATTCCACTTGCTCACTCTCTCATTCACCCACTCACCCACTTGCTGCAACTGTGTAAAAGTCCCACCACTGTACACGAGAGAGACAGCCAATATTCGTCTCTCTCACCTACCTACCTACCCATCCATCCATCCATCCATCAAAACCGCCCGACCTCCCCCAGTAAGAAACTCCTACCGCTACACCGATACACCGCTACACATACCGCTACATACGTATACTAGCCAAACTTCTGTCATCCGACCACACCTGTCTGTCTGTCTGCACACGTCAGTCACACCCCCTCTCACTGCTTGTGACACCCGAGAAGGCGCTTGGCGCTGTCGCTGATCCGGCGCATTCGCTGCATGGTGCTGACTGCCCCGGCCGGTCCGAGCGCGCGGATGATGGCCGCACCTCGCGCATGGGTGGGGTGGGGCACTGAGATGGCGCCCTCCAAACCAAGGCGCTTCAGGGAACTGACAATATGGGGATCGCCAAAGGTAGGTGCATGGGATGTGCATGTCTGTCTGTCCGCGTGCGTCCGTTGTGCTCACTATTCTGCGTATTCGTCGGCGTCAACGCCCTGGCCGCGTGTGAGCGGGGTGGCGACTGTTCCAGGCATCGCCGCCTCCATCAGGATGTCATCGCGGTTGAACATCCAGGCCAGGTTGCCCGTCCACGCGTTGACGAAGGCCTTGGATGCACAGTACTCCGGAACTACAAAGGAAAGCACCACATCACACAATGGCCGATGTTGTGTTGTGTTGTGCCGTGTGTAGCCGACTGAAGGGCAGGTAGATGAGTGCGGCGATGCTGCTGACGTTGAGGACGATGCCTTTCTTCCTCCGCGTGGCGGGAGCCGTGTCTGATGGGTCTCCTTGCTGGTCGCAGATGGACTCCTTGATGATCGGCAGCACTGCATGGGTAAGGGTTACCTGCAAAGCACACCACGGGGTGGAGGAACGTCTGCCTGGCAAGGCAGGATCCTACCATCGGCTCGATATTCATCTGACACGATAGCAGGGCAATAAACGACCGTGATCCTTTGCCGTGACGTGAACGCATCCCGACCCACCCACCTGTATGGTCTCGAGAGGGAATGTGACTGGCAGGTCGAGGAAGCCGAACTTGACTCCCCCCGATGCGGAGATCTGACTGTTGGCGTCCAGCCACCGCTTCGTGGACGGACCGATACCACCTGCATACACACCCACACAGACAGACAGGCAGACAAAGGCAAGCAAACAGACGTCCACGCATTCCCCGCGCAGATGTGTTTTCGTCGCGGGCTGAGTGTGCGTACCAACGTTGTTGATGAGGATGGTCACTCGCGGATTGTCGCCCTTGCGGTGAGGCAGCGAACGCAACGCCCTCTCCACCTGCAGACATACGACCAACGAAGGAAATACACATCAACACTCGTGCAGTTGCCGTTCAAAGAATGGAGGGATGGATTGGTGTCTGACCTTTTTGTGCATTTCGAGAGCGGAGGTTTCGAAGAGGTCGAGCACCACCACCCTTGCCTGCACGCCGTAGTGCTCGCACTCACGGGCCACCTGCTGCAACTTGTCACGCGACCGCGCTATCAGCACCACGTTCACCCCGCGACGGGCCAGCGCCAACGCATAACTCCGCCCGATGCCATAGGACGCACCTGACCACAAGCAGACAGACAGAGTTGGAATGGTGTGGATGAATCTGTTTAGACAGCCTGACGAGCGAGTGTCGCACCTGTGATGACGGCCCAATCGCCTGCGTGACGCCGACATGCGTGACAGGAGAAGACAAGCCAAGACAGTCAATACCATGAGTTGCGGTGTTCAGGAGTCAGCTGACCTGCATATGGCCGCCAATCGAAGCCTCTGGTGGGCACATACCTGCCGAGCAGTTTGGTCAAGCGCCGCCCCCCTGTGTAGCGCAGAGCGTTGAGTAACACATCCAGACAGACAGACTGCCTGACACAGAACAGATCAAGTCGTCGTGTTGTTCACCTTTGAGAAGAGTCAACGCGCCCAGGCCCTGATGCAGAGAATACACAGATGCATCAGCACCGCCCTCATGGACTCTGGTTGGAGGGTCTGACCTGCAACAAGACCCCGGCAGACCCGCTGACGGGCTCAAGTGCACCACAGTGAGGCAATACAAGACAAGCAGCCAGAAACAGAAGACAAAGCCGCATGGGCAGCCTGAGTGCCATGGTAGGGAGATCTTTTGACGTAAGCGGCCAAGTCCGTCTAGGGTGCTTCCTGAAACCGCTCCTGTTTTACGCGCACCTAAACCCTCCTTCCCCGAGCTCCTCTTTCGGGTGCTCTGCATAGCCTTTGTCGACGTCAGCATATTCATAGCAGTTGCCGACGCCCATGTTTGTTGGAGGCTGGTGAGGCCCAATGAGCGAGCCCACGGCGATGTCGGAGGATGCTCATGTCGATCCGATGGCCAAGGGCTGCGTCAAGACGCTCGAAGGCGATGGGGCGGTGGTGAGTCATGAGGAGGGAGGCGATGCGGCCAAGGAGGAGACCCACACGACCCCCGAGAGCCGGGATGAAGGCGCCAACGACCTCGGCACTGGACCCGAACCACTCCCCCTCCCTCACCCACTGGCTGATGGAGACATGTGTGACGACAGCAAGGGCGTCGATGCGGGCAGCGGTGCCAATGCTGCGAAAGAGGTGCATGGCGTGTCGGAAAGTGGAGTGGGTGAGGGAGAGTGGAGCGAGGGTGGGGAGGGGGGCGGTGGGGCGGTCAAAACGACCAATGGGAAGGAGGCGAAGGCCACAGATGGTGAGCAAGTCGAGAGGCGGGGGATGGGACGAGAGAGGATGGGGACACAGGGCAAGGGTATATCTTTTCCCTCATTTGCGCTGTTGGCTGTGGTCTATGTATGTGACGTGCAGGTGAGGGTGCTGATGAGAAAGAGGCCGATGTCAGGGGTGACAGTGACGCCCTCAAGTCCGCTGCGGACACCAGCAGATCCAAGCCCAACACTACAGAACACCACCCTACTCAGCAGGTACCGTACTCAGACATACAGACACCCCCAAACACCACTGCGGCTTGTGCACAGCACATGTTCCTTCCTCCCTCCACTCCCTTCTGCCCTTTGTGTGTGTTGTCAGTCGAGTGGTGGTGCGCTGAATGGGTTCCTTCGCGAGTTGGAGGTGTGGGGTGGTGAGTGGGGGGGGCGGCTCAACAAGCTGGAAGAGAGCACCAACAACACCATACACCAGTTCGACCAAATGCAGATGCAACTCGACCTCACACTGCAAAGTAAACAGCACCACACAACACAAGACAGCATTACTCAACAACAAACAGCGAACAACCGTGCCTACCATTTCTCTCGAACGCTTCGATTGTCTGATTTCTGGTTTGATTGCCTTCCTTGTTCAGGTACGCAGCGTCGCGTGCAGGAGGTGATGGATCTGCTCGCTTCCCTCGGAGCACCTGCCAACCGTACCACCAAGCAGAATGCAGCCCCAAAGCCATCCCCCACAACAACGAATCAGGTCAAGATGCCGTCAGGCGGCCCCCCTCCCCTCTCACCCGAGCTGCAGAGCCTCCTGGCCTCCCTCACCCCCACCAACGGCAGCAGCACGACCAACATGATGACCCTGGCGCCCTACGTGCCTCCCCGAGTGGTGGTGATGCCCCCGCCCCCTCCCTTCTCGCCACCATCACTCTCGCCCATCCCCAAACATCCCCAGCAGCCCCCTCCGCCACACATGCGCCATGCCACCGCCACAGCCAGCGGCTCGGCGCCACCCACCGACTGGAATCCTATAGGCAATGCCCTCAGCTCTGTCCAGCAGGCTCACCCCCACCCCCAGACGCAGGCTGCCAAGCCCATCGTGCAGCCCCAGACCCAGAACCCGTCGCTCAGCGCCATGTCTCAACTGACTGGCGCGAGCGGCATCGCCAGGGCGTCGGCGTCATCGACCGCCCCAGGGTCCCAGTCGGGGACCAGCGACGGGCTGGTGGCCTCCCTGGTCGACACACTGGTCGGCATTCTGTCGTCCTCTCCCACCAAGGACGCCAGCCAGGCGGGCAAGGCAGCGGCGGCCACCAAGCCCACCGTGCCGCAATCCATCTCCCCATCGTCATACGGCAGCGGGCCATCGGGTGCGGTGCACAACGGGGCGGCTGAAGGGAGGCAAGCCGTGGGTGGTGGTGGTGGTGGTGATGGTCAGAAGGGCGGGGGCGACGAGTCGCCTGTGCGTATGAGTTCAGACATCATGCGGTTCCTCGAGTCGTTTGCGGACTTTTTGCAGAGCGACAAGAACAATAACCAGGAGCAAGAGGGACCAACAGGTGGGTGGGTGGGGACCACGCCACGAGACATCCCCACAACCCTGCCTTCATGAATGTCATCTCATGATGTGGTGATCATCGATCCATTCAGGCGTGTCTCCAGTGAGTGCGCCCACGTCCGCCCCTTCCATGGCATCGTTGAGCAGTTCCCCTCCCCGGTCCTCACCCCTCACTGCGGGCATCCCAGGCCGCCCCACCATGCCGCCCATGGCCGTCCCACGCGCCAGCCCCCAACTGCCGTCCATCCAACAGCAGATTCCCGAGTCCATTCTCAGACATGCCACCACCAACAGCAGCAGTAGTAGCGGCAATGTCAATGGCGCGTCGTCTCGCGCGTCGGGACCCGGTGGGTCGCAAAGTGGCAGCGGTGGGCAGGGGGCAACAACGAGCACTACAGAGCAGCTCATGGAGCTACTGCAGACTCTGCTGAGCGACCCGTCGCTGTCCAAGCCGTCCTCCGCCCCCCCACAGCCCCCTCCCGACATGCAGCCCCCTCCCGTGGGCAACAAGGCACCCACCTTTGCCGAGCAGAGCCACCGCTCTCAACCCCTGGACCTTCCCCCTCTGGCCTCCCTGCTGCCCGACCTCGATGACTTTGACGACTCGTCGCCCCCGGCCAACTCGTCCCTGGCCACCATGACGGACACGTCCAACGGTAATGTCACCGAGGGCAGGAGCGAGGAGGAGCGCAACACGTCCGTTGTCACGGCACTCGACTACGGCGCAATCTTCAGTCCCGGCGGGCTCTTCTATCACAACGCGGCGCCGTCTGCGTCGGTCACGGGGTCTGCTGCGGGCAGTGCGGGGTGGGACGATACACCCACTGCTGCGCAGGGCAAGGGCCGGCCCACAGGGGGAGACTGGAGTGGCAAGGCGGGCAAGGCACCTGGCAGTAGCGGTGGTGGTCCGTCAGTGCCGCCAGGGTTTGAGGAGATCAGTTTGGAGGCCATTCAGGCCCAGGGGGCGAAGCGGGAGGCGGGGGTCATCGGCAGTGGCCGGATGTCGGAGAAGCTGTCGTCACAGGGGGAGGGTGAGAGGGAGAGGGAGGGCACCAGTAACAGCCACCAGGGCAGCCACGACGCATCGCCCAGGAACCACAGCGAGACGGAAGGCGACAATGAGGATGAGGACACCGAGACGCCCCTGTGGGCCCTCCCCTCCACCGACGCCTCCCCTCCCCGCCCACGATCCATCCTGGGCCGCCCACCCCGCGCCCCCCCGCCCATCAGCTTCTCCGCTGCACTCTCACAGCCCGCACTCGCCAACAGTCTGCTCTTCGATGACACCTTCGACTGGCCCCCGCGCGAGAACGGCCTGGCGAGCGACTTCATGCAGGACGACGCTGGCGGCTTCGACGGGCAGTCATCGCCCTATGGTGACGAGGCGGACATGATGAGCCCCTCGCCCTTCCAGGGCTACAACGGCTACCACCACGGATACGCCGACAACGGCATGGCGGACCCGTATGCGTCGCATCATCAGGGTGGGTATTTCGGCATGGGCGTCCCAGAGTGGCAGGACGGTGGGGGGGTGGGCCACCCCCATCATCCCGGCCATGCGGGGTGGCAGCCGTACGGCCCCTCCACAGGCCATGGCGAGTGGGGCGAGGAGGGGCCCTGGCACGAGTATGGCATGCAGTGTGGCCAGTTCGGGTACCCCCAGCAGCCCTACCACCATCCTGGTGGTGGTGGCGGGGTGCAGGAGGGCGGGATGGGGCCGCAACACCACCACACGCACGGCCGGGGCACTGTCTACTACTAGCTCACTCACTGACTGACAGACTGACTGCATGACACTCACGATACGATAGGGATATAGATAGGCGACAGAGCAGTGCGTTTGTTCTTCGTCGGTGCCGACATGCGTAATCATATGCTGTACGTGCGTACGCATTGTGCAACAGCCAGTGATGGGGGCTGGGGGGGTGTGAATGGATGGATGGATGGGCGTGACAAACAAGTCGGTCAGTCAGTCAGTCAGTCGGTCAGGAAGTGAGGGCGGATGGGTATGGGGTGCGGTGGGAATGGGCGGCGGTAATTAAGCGCAAGTGCAGGAGTTGTTATTGTTTCGGAGTGGCTGGCGCCTTCTTTTCCCCCACTGCCTGCCACCCTCCCCACTGGCCAACTTGTGAATAGATAGATAGATACGTACACACACACATGCAATACCCTGCCTCTCTCCCTCTCCCTCTGTATGATTCTTTCTCTCTTCGGTAGTGTCTGTGTGTGTTAGGTAAGCACTAACTAACTAACTGGTAGCGGTCTGTCTCTGCGATCATATGCCTGCTGTCGGTCGTGGGACGATTTAGACAGGTGAACATGGACGAATGGACGGATGGATGATATGAAGAGACAGACACATCAACATCGATACGCACAAAGCGCCAGCACTTCTCTCTGCAGGCTCACCTGACCGAGGTGGTTTCATGGAATCCTCCTCTTCGAGCGAGCTGTCTGCAGAGCGCTTCATTGCCTGAGATCAGGTTCATTGTTGTTTGAGGGAGCGTACAAGGATGATATCAAGGATGGACCTGCAAAAGAGTACTACAATACTGGTCCAGTCAAGACATACTTCTGTGCCAGTGGTCGGTTGGCGTTCTTATTAAGCACGGCAAAAAGGACGGGATAGCGAGAGAGCACAAAGATGCTTCGATTCAGACGGATGTCTGTGATGTTTGTGGGGATATACAAGGATGGGAAGAAGGACGGACCAGCAAAAGAATACCTTGTGAGTTCTGAGGTGATATTCGGTGGAGCGTATGGGGTGGGACGAAGGGCGGATTGGCGAAGGAGTGCTATACAATTTCCGCCCATGCCAGCACCATCCTCGGCGCCCGCCTGGCGTATCTTCCAGCGGCGGCGCCCACCACACACATACTCGCACTACGCACCAGCGCTTCTCGCGGCACGCTTCTTCCCCTTCCTCTTGCACCTCGGATCCAGTGGTACTGTTCCGGTCTGTGTTGCATGAGCAACACCGCACAGGACCAGCGGCTGGCTGCAAGGGCGAGGTATCGTCTCCCAGCACTGCAGAGACGCCCTCCTGAGATCGACCGTCACGGTGGGGCGGTTGGGCTGAGTCTGCTGAGATTGGGGTCGATTCTGCGGTCATTCTGCAGAGCTGCTCGAGCTGGATATGATGCTGGCAGGTGTGGGCGAGCTTAGACAGGTCAAGCAAAGTTTAGGCACAATAACCAACCAACTTAGGGGCAATCCGAGGAGAGATAATTGACAGATGGCATCCATGCACTCGCTTGTCCACATCGCCTCCATGAATCTATCCACATATGCCTATGCACAAAGGGCACGCTCACTCATCCGATGAGAACA